GACCCCTCACGCCGCTCTCAGCGAGAGAACCCACTGCGTGAGCAGCGTACCCTGGAGGAGGCTGGGACAGCGACAACCGCTGATTGGCAGTAAAGGGGTTCACTCCCCATCTCCTGCTCGGAGCGAGGGTGACAGAGCCAATCAAAGCGGAGACTGATGGAAAGGACCCAATCGTGGGGCCGGCCTGAGGGTGGGGGCGGGGACAGATGGTCCAGGTGGACTCCAGACTGGAGGTGTCTTAGGGGAGCTTCTTAGCCGACGCCGATGCTGCTGCTGTGCTGAGAGACCAGTCTCCAGGTAATCAGATCTTGGGGGAGAAGAGGGAGGAAAAGCATCTATTTGGAAGGATCCAGAGAATCTGGAAAAATGAGCGTGGGGTGCAAGGGGAGGCAACATTTTGGAGGAAAAGGTCTCGAAAGACGAAAAGGGAGAAACGAGAATGGAGAAAACTTAGTAGATTCGAATAACGAATGAATGGATAAAGGAATGAACAGTCACCCCGAGCTTAGTATTGTGCAAGGAACTCTCACTTGTTTATGTAATTCTCATAATAACCCTTGAAGTACATCTCTTCATTTTGCAGGTGAGAAATTCGGGGCTGAAAAGTGTACCCGACGTGCCCAGGATCATACAGCTTCTAAACTTTAGAGTCTAAAGGTTAGAAGCAAAATAGGAATTCTTCCCTACATACCCTTCCTGGGGCAGGGCAACAAGTATCAGATAGCTTTGTTGCTGTTGGGTGTAGGGGGGTCATTGTCAAGTCACAGAGACTCCGTCTGGTCCTGTACCATCCTGACAATTATTATACTTTAAACCATTGTTGCAGCCACTATGCCAGTCCATCTTGCTGAGGGTCTTCCTCTTTTTTGTAGACCCTCTACTTCACCCAGCGTGATGTTCTTTGGCAAAGACTGATCTCTCCTGATGATATGTCAGAAGTACATGAGGACTAAGTCCATCCTCGATATTAAGAAGCATCTGGCTATACTTCTTCCAAAACAGATTTGTTTTTCTGGTAGTCCATGGTATGTTATTTAATAACACTGTAGTTCAGTTGCACTGGTTTTTCTCAGGTCTTTATTATTCATTGTTCATGCCTATGACGCAATTGACAATATGGCTTGGCCCAGACCCACCTGAGTCCTCCAAGTGACATCTTTGCTCTTAAACACTTTAAGGAGTCCATTGGCTGAAGATTTTTTCCTGAAGCTATACGGATAGTTTAACTCAGCTGCCTGCCATTGAGACAATTTGGACTCATAGCGACTCTGTAGGGCAGAGGAAAACTGCCCTTACAGGTTTCCAAGACTATAGTATGGAGGTAGTAAGCCTCCTCTTTTTCCCACAGAGCAGATAGTGGTTTCGAACTGCTTATCTTGTAGTTCGCAGCCCAACTCATAACCAGTACACTAGGCCCCAAAGCTCCAGGGACATGGATTTGAGGGCTTGTTAGATCCATTGAAAGTGTGCCCAGGCTCTTCCCTCATCAGCTGTTTGTTAGGATTTCTCAGACTGCCTGTGACGTGGGAGATATTCACTCAGCCAGAAAGGAAAGCATTTGTGCAGCTATTCCTGACCCTGGGAGGACAGAACTTGAGTCTCCTGAGGGAAGTGAAAACTAAGGCGGCTGAGGAGATCGCCACCCTGCTGTAACCCTGTGATGTCCAGTTGGAGTCCCATTCTCTCTAGAATTTAAGAAAGTCCACCTCTGTGATTCACCTTTCTCTGAGAGGTTTGTCAGTCCCTCCTCCTCGCCCCCTTCCTCCTCTAGGGTACTCTCTCCATGTGTGTGCGCTTGTGTGTGTGTGTGTGTGTGTGTGTGTGTGTGTGTGTGTGTGTGTGTGTGTGTGTTTCACACTGTCTTGAGCCATTGTAGAATTTTTCTGTCTGTCTCAGCTAGGTAGGGGAAGACCATACTGAAACTCCTACAGCCAGAGTGACAAAGGAAGCCCAAGAGTTTATTACACATCAGGCCCAGCAAGTTAGCCTGTGAGCAGATAAGCCATGGGCCCCAAAACAGGGCCCCCACACAGGACATCGAGCTGACTGCTCCATTGTTAGATTCTTTACCCACAGAGATTTGACTTAAACCCTTTCATGACTGATGGGACATACACAAGGGGCTTCAAAAAGTTCATGGGAGGAAAAAAATCCATAATCTCTGAACTCCCATTTTCCCAGCAGCTTTGGGGAGCCCCACATAAAGCTCCCACCAACATGTTGCAGCCTCTCTGGTTTCTTAGGAACCTGTCACAGTCATTGGATGGGCTCCCACCTGGCAGGGCCTGTGTAACTTCCCCCCACCATGATAGCAACAGAAAACTCAAAGCAGAAACTAATTCAGCCCTGAAAGGATTAAGGTGATTGAAATCACTGCTCAGCAAGCATTGATACAACTTCAAATATATGTATATAACACCCCTAGCTGTATTTTGTTACACAGCCTATAGATACAGATGTGACCCCTATAGATAGAAATATGACCTCTAACCATATTTTGTCCACAGCCTATAGACCAGCAGTTCTTAACCTGTGGGTTGCAATCCCTTTGGGGGTCGAACCACCCTTTCACTGATTCATAACAGTAGTAAAATGACAGTGATGAAGTAGCAACAGAAATAATTTTATGTTTGGGGGTCACCACAACATGAGGAACTGTCTAAAAGGGTTGCAGCATTAGGAAGGTGGAGAACCACTGCTATAGATAGATACAGATGCGATCTGCTTGTCTTCCTCACAAATGGGAATATGAGCAAAATATCCTCCCCCAGTGAGGCAGTATTGCAAAATGAGTCTGACAGATGATACTCTGTATCTGAGCTGTGTCATATATGACCTCACATAGATGTCATATGTGACCTCAGGCCTCTCTGTGCCAACTTGAATCTGGAAAATGGGACTACTAATGATGCTCCCTGACTTCAATGTAAGGATCACATGAGAGAGCTTATGTTAGGTCCTTGACACAGTGCCCAGCACATAGCAAGTGACCGCTAACTGTAAGTGATCATTTCTCATGTGAACTGACATCATGCTAGCTGGTTCCCTGCCCCTAGTTCTCAAGGTGCAGCAGTTTATTCCTTTATAACAGTAGACTATCCAAGTTTAGGAGCCTGGTGCACATGAGAAGCAGAGTCGAGAAAACCAATAATGACACTGACCTCACACCATCGGTTCCACTGAAACATAGTAGAGGCTCAGAGGACCTGTCACCCATAGCTAGGTTGGCATATATTGCATCACTGCCTTCCAAAGGACTGACCTGAATAACGAGGGTCGAAGTCAACCTGTAGGAGGAATGATTTGGGGCACTGCTTTGGAGAAATTGCATGAACAGAAGTCAGTAAACCGGCCCCACGACCATCAGGTCAAGTAGGACAACTGAATACGTATTGCAAGGCCTGTATTTGTGTGTGACTGCATACTGAGACGCGTTTCTATACACGGAAGTCCATCTCGTTGCTCTGTAAGGACATTTATTGCCATTCCGTCATCTCCATGGCTCCCTCCAGTCTGTCATTCCCAACCTGAGATTCTGTAGCGCTCATGGCTCTGGGTCAAGGTCAGCACACGTCGTTGGTGTGAGATTACGTCATCCTCCCAGACAGCATGGCGAGGCTGTGAAGCAGAAGGAGCTGGGTTTGGACCCAGCAGAAAGCGGGGGCCACGGGTGGGCTGTGCAGTTGCCTCATGGACTTGAAACCCAATTGACGACGAGGTTGACCAGCCTGCTCAGAGCTGAGAGCCTTGCGTTGGAGTAAACGGACCCTCGTCTCATGTCCCTCTGCCTCTTGCCCCCAGGCAGAACACACCATGGGCCGATTCCTGAACGTGCTGCGCAGCTGGCTGGTCATGGTCTCCATCATCGCCATGGGGAACACACTGCAGAGCTTCCGAGACCACAGCTTCCTCTACGAGAAGCTCTACACGGGCAAGCCAGACCTGGGTGAGGCGGCAGGGCCATCACAGCATGGGGGGGGCGGGGGGAGGGGGGGACCATGCTGGGCTGCACGTCAGAACAGCCCCAGGGAACTGAAACAAGCAAAAATGGAACAGGCGGCACCCCCCCCTACAACCTACCTGACTTCCCAAACCTTCCCCCCACCAGGGCCCGGGACCTGTTCTTTAAAAACTCCCCAGGCAGTTCTGGGCTGCCCAATCCAGTATGGGGTACCCACATGTGTACTAGACTTTATGCATACCATGTGACCCTTTTGCACCCCAAACTTCTCTGACTACCTCAGCCTTCTTTTTACACCATCCTGGGGAACTGGTCTGTCCAAAAAAAAAAAAAATTAGAAGGGCAAGTTAGGAATGTAGTTAACTGGTGATACTGTGATCCCTCACTCAAAACTGAAAAAGCAAACGCATTGCGTGGATTCAGTTCCAACTCAACAGCATCCCCGAGGACAGAGCCCGCCTCCCGCCCCCCCACCCCACCTTAGGGTTGCCAAGGCTGTCGTTTTCACTGAAGCCCACGGCTGCATCTTCCTCCCACAGAGCTGATGGTGGACTCGAACCACAGACCTTTCCGTTAGCAGCCCAGTTCCCAACCACGGTGCCACACCAGGAAGCCAGCCTTAAAGCAGCTTTCCGTGGTCTCTCTTCAGGTGGCCCCCCTCAGAGCCGGTTTTTATTCTGGGTTACAGAGGGAAAGAATCGAATCCCAGATCATCCCAAACTGTGACAGAATCCCTGAGGAGATACGCCAAGCCCCCGATTCCACACTCATTCCCACCCCCACCCCCTACCCCCAAAGTAAAACATCCGAAGGAGGTCCGAGGTGGGCTTTGCCGGCGCTGAGTCCCCCCATACTGAGAGCTTTCAGATTCCAGCCTGGGCTCTCCTCGCGCCCATCTGTCGGGTCCTTGGTCCTGCGGCAGTTTTCTAGCCAGCAGCTCCATCACGTGGACAGCCAGCCCAGATTCAGGCACTGGCCTGGCCCCGTTTCCTGCAACATCTGGGTGTCAAAGGAAATGAAGTAGGCTAAGGCTCGTTTTGAACAAAGCTCACCGACTCCCAGGGTAACACTGGGAACGTGGTGGCACCATTCCATATTCTTGTCCCCCATGATGGTCTGGGAGTCTTGGGCAGACCCGCAGCATGCCCGGGTGATGGAGAGTAAAGAGGGCACAGACCTGGCTACAGGATGCAGAGCTGAGCAGTGGTGTGTGCCCATCCCACTGGCGGCCAAGACAGTCTGCTCCCTGGTGAGCGAGGGGCTGCCATGGGCCTCTGCTGGCCTAGCAGTGCTCTGGAGAGTCCTGCAGCATTCCAACCGGTGTCCAGGCTGGTGGCGGTTCTTGGTGCTGCCCAGTGGATTCCGGCTCATGGCCACCCTGTGCTCACCGAGAGCTGCGCTGTAGGGTTTTCAGACTGTGGCCTTCTGGAAGCCGGGCAGCAGGCATGCCTTCTGAGCTGCCTCGGGGTGGGCATCTGCCTGTTGTCAGGTGCTCTCGGGTTGGTTCCGACCCATAGTGACCTGTTACGGACAACGGAAAGCAACTGCCTGGTCCTGCACCATCCTCACACGTGTTCCTGTGCTTCA